AGCTGGTGGCCAAGAGGAGAGAGGGGGAGGGTGGGGGAGAGAGGAGGATTTGTATCGTGCTTGATGCACTCGCATTCATAAAGATTACCCGAGTTTTTAATGTTTCTTCCCCCGTTGAAAAATCTATTCGTGCCTTTTCAAACAACCGAGCTGTGTGCTACCTTGTGGCGTTACACAAGATGGCCGGGAGAAAAGCGACTTGCTGTTGAAAGGCGACATAAATCGCGGGAACTCGCCCTTTAATTAAGTATACGTGATAGGGTGTAAATCCATTTATCCGCCTCCCCTGGATTTTTTTTACTACTACTACTACTACTACTACTATTATTGAATGCTTGATTACTCGAAGAAAATTGTATCTCGGCTTCTTGTCATTTCCATTTGATTAATTAATTTATTTCGGATGGTAGTAAAGGTATATAAGATAGATTGCGATTATATACGCAGAATAATTGGTAAATTTCTTTACGTGTTATTCGTTTTATTCTTCTTCGGGTTTATAATACGATGTATAAATTTCGTACGTTTTCCGATAAATTAAATGACGTTTTATGTTTCGTATAAATCATTAATCGATGGAAGAAATTGGAGAAATCGAGAGAATTAGATAAATTTTTCCAAATTTCCAATAATTCCTTTTGTTCTGAAACCCCTTTGTTCGTTCAATTTCACTTCCTTCCCTGAAAAAAATTGCCCTGTTCTCAATGTCACAATTTCAGTCATTTCCATGAACGTATAATTTTTAAAACCTTCTCTGTAATGCGTTTTTGACGTAATATCCACCAGGTAGGACGGAAAAAGAAAGCTAACAGAATGTCGGTCATTAGTCGAGTAATTCGTTCCTGCAGATGGGGACTGACGATATTAAAGGATAAAAAAACGAAGAAAAATTCAACAAAAAAAAAAAAAAAGAAAAAAAGAAAGAAAGGAAAAAAAAAGAGAGAGAATCGAAAGAAGAGCGGGAGATCGAAAAAATGAATGAGAATGGATTGTTTATTCCATTATGCGTAGCTCATTAGGGAGCTGAATATAACTCACGAAAATTACGGTTCTCAAGACGTCCGCAAGATGAGCTCTACGATGAATATTTCATATATTCGGAAGTTAAAACGACCATCATTTATTTACCTCGACCAATTTTTTCCTTTTTTTTTTTCTACGTACCTCGTCGAGGCCAAAATTAACGCGTGTCCCTTTGTCGCGTTATTTACACGTAGGTGAATAATTAATGGAGCTGACTTGATTGGCTGGAGGCAAGGTTTCATTTTATAAACGGATGAATTATCGATACGCCCGAAGCGAATCTTTCGATCAGCTAATCGTAGCTGTTTTAAGGATCTTTAATGCTAACAGATATGTTACCCCGAAAGGGTATTACATTACTGCTTGATTGAACAAGAATAATTTTTTCGAATAAAAATTGCAATTTTAATTTTTTATAGGAATGATGATGAGCTATAGATATCGCGATGTGAAAAAGTTGAACAGTTTATATTGCGAATTGTTCTACTATTTATTTTCTATTGGAAATATTTACGTAGAAGGTATAACAAATGTCTCTTGATATTTTAAGTATATACGATTCCTTTAACAACGTTGTATTTATACTGATACCAAATTTTATATCCATTTACAATTTCTGAAAATCCCTTCGACTTAACCATTCCTCTTATATAAATATATTCTCCGACCCGACCTCCATTATCTCGATACCTAAAATAAAGGTAAAATGTATTATCAGATCCCGTATTCGTTACGTTTTTGTCCCTTGCGTTAAGACCAAAAATCGTTATATAAATTGAATCAATGTTTGGAATACATCATTTCGTTTGATTTGATATAAGATACGATTCTGAATAACGATGAGCAATCCCTAAAGAGATTAAACATCAGATTAACATCTCAACGAATCCACAAATTATTAAGACTTCGTATGAGAAATACCACTCCACGATATTTGATTTCCTAGATATCAAAATTTCTTATCAATTAAAATTCTTCGAAAATCACGATACATCGTACATAATGAAAATACCGTAAGCAAATATGCGTTTCAACGCTTCAACTCAAATCGATAAATACCTCTATTCAACACTTGGATCCAGGCTGTATCGATTCCACCCATACAATCCACTACAACTTTCTTCCCTCCAAATTCATTCCAGTCTCCCAGTAACCCACTACCATCACCACCACCACCACCCTATCGGCCACGGTAGCTTAATCAAGATTCCGCTCTATTACCAAGTCCACGTTCAAGCCTGGCGCGCGATCGTTAACGTCGACGAGAGCACGTTCACCCGCTATAAGCTATTGCCGCAATCGGCGTCGTAAGTCCACGTTCCCTCGATTGTCCGTGCATACGGGATAGATCCGGGCGGAATGGAGTCGTCGCGATTAAATCGATCGATTTCGTTTTCGAGCGTTTATACCGCGAAAGGATGGAAAGGGGAAGGCGAAGTCGAAGCGAACGCTCCAATATCCGCAAAACCGAGGAATAAACAAAGGATGTAGACGATGCACTCCTCCTCTATCTATTTGACCAAGTCGAAGGGGGGAGGGCTCGAGTTAACGAGCCCCCTGGCGGTGTGTTATCATCACACAGCCTTACATTATTCTACACACACGGTTGTTGCGTGAATCAGCATCTGTCTTGAATATCGCGGGCTAAATTTCGTTCGTTATATTAATCCAAGCAAGTTGCAACGCAGCGATTGTTCGACCGTGTTGTTTCCCGAACGCTTGTGTTTCGCCTGTTCTTCCTAGGCAGGGGCCGTGTATCCCTCCCTCACGCGTTCACACGCGTTTAATCCCGGTATGCTACCTCATTATAATCCCTCGCTATAATAACGATACTACCACCCTCACCCCCGATTAAATGACCAACGATTTCAACCGTGGTCCCAATCGTGGCTATCCACGCGTTAACGCGTGTCGCGCCTCGGGATTAGACTACTTCTGTCGCGCATGCCTGTCATGTCCACGTTCGGGATTAGACGTAATAATCGCCATTTCCTATTTCGTCGCCTTTCGTCCTTCCCCCCGATTATCCCTGGCCGGGTAATAACTGGTACTTTGCTCGAGATTGGGAGTAAGTGGACTAGCAGCGGATTTGATGCACTTGTACCTTCGGTAGGTGATTCCCAAATTTGCTGACGGAGGGGAGTAATATGTGTATATATTAATTAAAATTAATAACGCCTGTTGTTCTAATTACATTGGGATATCGAGTATAACTTTAATTTTTAATCTGTTTGTTTCGAGGAGAAAGAACGGCGAGTTATTCACAAATTGTTTTCAATCGAGTCGCGTCCCCTTGATTTAAATTATCTCGAGATAAAAGTTGAAATGGTCGAAGCTCAAAGGTGGATACAAATAGAAAGAAGAATCTTATTAAGATAAAGGAATGATTAATTTATTCGATATTAAGGAAGGATCTCGTGTCTCGATCGCAAAGAGGGGTCGTTAGTAGGATTCTTGTAGTAGGATTTGTTCTTTATCCATGTAGGAGCAGGTGGGAGCAGGATACCGATTTCCGATCGGTTTCCTTCAGGAGAATTTTCACGAAGGAATCGTCTTGAATGCAGCAAGCTCGTATGCATATGAACTACTCTTATCTCTATCTCGATGCCGCTCAGGAACTCGTTTTCTCGATAAAGACGGAGGATTTACACGAACAAGACTTCGGTTACGCTTTCATAAATAACGCGATGACTCGATCCATTCGCGAATAACTTTTAACGTTTACGTTAAATTCCATGAGTATGTACGATCGTTTCCGAGATTTTAATCACATTCGTGTTCACAACGAACGTAGGAAGTACGAGATAGGGGGAGAACGTATGCCTGTCATTATTCGTTCTCACTCGGAATATTCTTCCATCATTTTTAACTCGATAATTTGTTGGAGTAAAATTGTATCGTTGAAAGATACAAAGACACGTTTTGATGCGTCTTTATCTATATTTAGGTTTTTATATTAATTAGGATTTTCTTTTTTTTATTCTATGAAAAGTGGAAGGAAAGATTTGTTTAGTATTCGTATTCGTTAAATTATTGTAATTTTAATTTTTAATATTGTTATAATGCTGTTCTAATTCTATTGTTTCTCTTATATTTAATTGTCAAGGACAATTGATAAAATCGTTAAATACTTTAAATGTTTAAAGTACAATTTCTAAAATAATATTCCATGTGTTTTAGGTTAGAAGTCAGATGCAATAGTAACTTTGGAAGAGAATAGCGGAAGGCGAAGAAATGTGCCTAATTGTTTTCTTCCCATCTATTCATCTTCTCTTTCATCACGCCAGAAGCTATTGTATATTGCAAAAACGGGGCAAGATGTGTATCCATCTTCGCGGATTCATCATAATGGGTGAGTTTCAGAGACAATTTATTAATATTTATTTGATATTCGTTTCGTTTTTAAAACAATTTTATAATATTTTCATATATTCCTTTCTTCTTCTTCTTCTTCTTCTTCTTCTTCTTTTTTCGTTTAATCTAATATCGTGGAAAATAGGAAATCGTTGAGCTTCGATATCGGTTGATCATAAAATACTTTCGATTCGATTAAGTAACGAATCCGAGAGTGATAGATCGAAACTGAATATCATTATAATACTTGCGAATGGAATTAAATCTTTTAGGCAATGAATAATATTTGGATAAATCTACGAACATCGCGATATCTTTCTCGCGTCGACGCGTGAAATTAATGCCAGTGCCAGAACGTGATTGATCAAAAGAAAGATTTTAAAAGAATCTCATAGTATTAACCTAATAAAAATTAATCACACGTTTTTGGAGAAAGAAATAATCAGAAATATCTTTTTCACCAAAAAGATCATATTTGATATTACATTGAGATATGTTTGAGATTTATCATGAACTTTAATCATCATTTTAACAACGCGAACATCTAAATTCGAACAATTCTCGATTCAATCCATCAACAATCCCGCAATAGCTTTACAAATTTCCATTCCTTTCCCCGATTTGCTAATAATCTAATTTATCTAGATCTCTGGATAACAATATTAACTTCCTTTCTCAGCTCAAGATTTCCAAATATCACGAATCGATGCATCTTGGGACGCTTCCAAACATTCCAAAAAAGTTAACACCTTCTCATCCCATTCGTTCGAATTATCACTGCTGACAAAAAAGATTTTGAAACTTTCATTCAAATAAAAAATAATAGCACACCAAGGTTCGTTCCGGACAAGCAAAATAAAGCAGCAGGGTAACGCGTCCCTTTTAACGAGATATACATGCCCCACTTTCGCGATCCCCGCCCACTTTTCGTCCTACGACCCTATTTCCACCGCCCTTTTTATTCTTCTCCCTCCGTCCCGCAGTTTTGGGTCGTCGCGTTTTTCCAAACCCTTTTCCCGTGGAACGTTGCTGCCGGAGTTCTTTGTCGCCGGGTTAAACGATGTCGCTCGCTCGTTCGTTTTCGTTCCTGTTTCTACGCCATCGAGCCTCCTCCAACCGTACACGCACCGTGTACACCACCGTCCGTGTACCTAATTTTACTGCCGGTATCAGGTAATTAGAGGCACGTTCGAACGTGATTTAAATGGAGGCTGTCAAGCCAACGGCGTATAAGTCTGGGATAGAAATGTAGGGGAGAGGGATTAGAAGAATCATACGCGTATACACGAGAAGTTTCGTTTAGACGTTTTCCGTTGTGGTTGATTCCGTGACATGGGCGGATTAAAATGGGGCGAATTCTATTCCATTTCTTTTTTGCTTAGTTTCGTAATTCGTTAGCTATTTTTATTTTGGCACGCTGCTTTAATGGATTGCGCGGTTTATCCTCGCTTTTTTTCGGGGGAATCGTGCGATTCCTTGTGTAATTTCGTAGTCACGATTCCGTACTTATTAAGAAATAGAAGAGGATCGAATGGATTAATTCGATTAATTCGGGAAATTTGAAATCGACTCAACGAAACCTGCAATCGCGCAGAAATAAGACGGGATTCGTGGAAATGGCACAGGACGATTGGGAAAAAAAGAAAAAAGAAAACGGGGGGATAAGAAGTCCATCGAAATCGATACCGGGCACGATCAAACGTTTCAAACGGGTTGAATTCTTGCCGGTTGCTTCGATAGAGGCAGCCTTTCAGAAACGGCTCATAGAGAAACGTTGGAACGAGATGCGTGCCGTTTCTTTCAGCGTGCGCGGAATCCGATAAGACGTCTCGAGGAATCCGTGTACACGAGCCACCGCAGCTTGTCTGTCCTTCTCTCCGATTTTCTCTCAGGTCGAGAAAGAGGAGAGGAGAAACGTCGAAATCGGGACGGTTTTGGTGGAAATTTTCCAGTGGAAAGAATTCGACCGGTTCCTCTCTGTACTCACGTGCTCCTCCCCTCCTTGAGACACGTATAAACAAGGAGAGGAGGAAAAAGAAGCTTGAGGGGAAGGAGGGGTTGTTGTTGGATTCACCTACGGAAAACGGTTACACGCGTGTGCGTATATTAGACGTATTGCTGTGTCGTCGCCATCCACACGTATCGAGCCAGCCTTTAAAGAGGATCCTTTAAAGTCAACATTCTTCTCTTTGGAGAAGAGTCTTTCCTCTGAGGCGAGGGATCGTCGAGCCCGACGAAAATACTTCCTTTCGACGCCGAACCGATCCCGGATGCCACCACCTTCGGTATTTTGATAAAGGTGGCTCGAAAATTCTATTACTTTTCCTCTCTAATTGTTGTTTCTCGGTTTTTTTTCCTTTTCTTTTCTTTCAATAGGCTTAACGATCAAGTTGTTACTCGATCTTTTTATACTCGTTGTTTTATTTTGCTTCTATGTCGATTGGAAAATATTCATTTATAACGAGAAAATCCTTGGTTGGATTTTTCTTCGTTTCTCAATTGAGGATTGTTCGATCTTGTAGAAATAGGAATAATTGATTAAAAATTCTTACCAAATATAGAAATGTATAATTTTTTATTAACACTTACGATCTCGATGTAACGAAAGTTTATCACAATTAATTCTTTGTCTATCTATTAATTATCTCGCGTTCGAATTTTGATTATCATAACGAGTATTTAATACGAATGCTAGGTTCGTCTTCCAACGGAATAATGGGAATCGCCCAAGGGTGTATTAATAAACATTGTTTCCGACCACCCTGATGCTTCCACGCGTAATTGTTGCGCGTTCTATACGGTTCTTGCCTCGTCCGCAACAACAAATGCATCCGGTGAACATGGTCTCGGTGATTGTCCTTCCGCCCTGTAACATACGCGGATTAGTCGGTGACATCGTAATCGTGTATTTTCCCATGAACAGAGGGAGGGATACGTCTGATCTGTGTCTGATTTCAGCTTATCGACCGGTCGCTTCGTTCAACGATCGTTCTCCACGCATCTGATCTTCGTGGAGTCGCAAAAATAAAATCGCCAATATTTATATCTGTCCGATATCGTTCAATCGAATTTTGTTCCAAGATTTAGATTTTATCTAGAATTAGAATAATTAATAAATAACGAACAAGAAGAATTTGTTTCTTCGTTAGATTTCAATTATTACTGTTATAATATTACAAGTAAAATTTCAGAATTTCGCGGGAATGTGCCGGGCGGAATCCTTCGTAAAACGAAACAAAGGGCAACGATCGAAATTATTCTCGTCCACTTCAAACCTAAAATACACAAACACAAATTCCAAATATACAATTCGATGATCAAGCTTGAATTTCTGCCAAACACTCGTCCCCTGTTTCATTCTAAATAAAAGAGGGAGAGGGGGGGTGGAGGAGAGAATCGAGAAAAAAGAGAGAATCGGGGGTATAGGTCGAGAGTCGTATTCGACCTCGACACGAATCACAGGGAAACGCGGACTATTTTAATGATTTTAATGAAGTAGTTTATCTTCGCGATCGAGTGATCGTGCACACCCCCTCTCGATCCTGATGAAATTCGTATTCGATTGTTGTTCGGAGGCGTGTCGATTGTCGTCGATCGAAAATCGACGTTTCGTGGATTTGAACACGGGGGGATTAAGCAAGTCTTAATTAGAAATAATAGGCTCGTTTCGAACAAAAAAGGCGATCTGGCCCCAGGTTGTCGAAATCGAGGGTGCTATCGATTTTTCACACAGTGGTGCTTTTCAACGGTGGTGGAAGACGCGTTGATCAAATTCCGCCAATCCTCTTGAGACAATGCGTGGAACGTGATTTCATCGAGATTTCTTCCGGGGAGGATGTTTTTTCTCGGGCTTTTTATTCTTTTCTTCCTTTTTTCGGGGAGAGGGGATGTTAGGCTAAAAATGATAACGATTTATTTTATTTTATTTTCAGGGTGGAAGCGTAAATTCAACGTAGAATATTTAATATCGGTACATGGAATGTTCAATCTGGGAGTAATTTAAATTTAAATTCGGTTTAATTTGGTGTTTATTAATTTAATTTAATTCGCTTGTAATAAATTAAATGAGGGATTTGGTAGGAAATGTATAGGTATTCGAATGGCGATGAAAGAAAGATACGAATGTAGTTGGGTATCGAATAATAAAAGTCTGACTGAGTTGTAAAGGTTTACAACCCCAAAGGGAGAGTATAAATTATTGAAACGTGTAAAATCCAGAATTAATTTAAAGAATTGTTACAATTTGTAATCGTATTAAAATCGTAATTTCGCCTCAAGTGTATTGTAATCCTATTATCTAATATCAATTAGATAATTATTATTATTTCTATCGAGTAAGTTTAACAAAAAATTTTTTTTAATAATCCTCCATAAAAGAACGTCGATCGATAACGCGAAGCGGATTTTACATTTTTGTATTTATATCTATATATACTATGTTTTGATTCGCATATCTATATATATATATGAAATTAGATTTGTAAAGGATTAAAATGTTAAATCTGAAAGAGGATTCGAAGGATTTGAAGAGGTGGAAATCCGAAATTAGATTTGTTAACGTGAGGATTGGTCAATCACTGTGGAATGGGAATATATTGGGATCAGAGATTTAAATTCGAAACAAGATTTCACAGGTTTCGAAATCAAATCTATTAACAAGGCTGCACAGATATTTTTCTTTCGTTACGGTTCAATTACATTACAAGGATATTCCCTTTTTATGACGATGAAGATGTTGAAAAGAAAGAAAGAAAAAAAAAAAATACGTATCTTCCGTTGCACGAGCAATGGAACAGAAAGATCCTTTGATCACGTGATAAAAATATCTTCATTCTAAGGAGAGGGATTTTTAAACTCGTTTACCGGATACGAAAATTCCTTTGACCCTTCTAATTATCTTTAAATGTAAGTTGGTACAAGATAAAAATCTCCGGCTCATAATTAAAACATATATGAAAAATAAATGTGTTTGCTCTCTCAAAGGAATTAATAAGACACGTGTAACGTCTTCATTTATTTAAATGGAATGCCATAT